CCCCCCCCGACCCCCTCTAACATCACCAAAAGTCATGATTTAATGGGTCTTTTCTCAAAATGTTCTTCCGGGGGAGCATCCCCCCGGACCCCCCTAGTATGGTTTGGTCACCATTTCCATAGCCCCACTAAAAATATTTTCCACCAGCAGCCACAACCTAAACCTCCACCTAAACCTCCACTTCTAATTGTGGGGAATACGAAAACGTCTTAGCTACACAATAGCCAGCATGTGTAGTTCTGGGGGGGGTCCAATTCCAGTTTTGGAAAGTCTGCCTTGGTGCCATTCCATTTCATAGAGCTGTTTGACGCTCAGCGTAACCTTGTCGCACTGCCACTCCAACATCCAATCACAGGGCTTGATGACTAATCACGGGGTTTGTAAAGCAAGGCGGATGTTGTAGTCCCAAACGATAGCTGGGATTCTGGATAGTGTAGTGTCTTCGGAAACTGTAGTGTCTAAACTCCGAAAAAACTATTTGTTTCTCTGAATCGAAGGTTAAAAACACAAAAGCATTGTACACAATTTAAACCAATCAATATTGTGTAATTAACAAGGATAAACTGATGTTTTTTAGTGGATGAGTGATGCAGATATCAATGTGTAATCATTTGACAGTGAGGGGAATATATCCGGTTTTATTATGACAACTTCGAGAGCGGAAAAACTGTTTTCACCCACGCTAACTTTACATGGAAGCTGCGTACACGTTATCCTGGCGAGACCTCAAATCATCTTCGTAATATATATCAAAGTATAGATCCTACACATCGACTGGACGTGGATTCTAAGAGTACAATATACACTTCTTGCCAGAAATCGAATCAAAAAGCATTTTAATGGCGAAAATATTCCACAATTTAGGATTTTCCAGAGAGGGTTATTTGTGAATAAACGTCCCTCCGGAGCGTTTGCAATGAACGGGCCGGGAGCATGTTGTTTTTTACATTGAGCACCTCTAGTGGTCGTGTAAGAAACAACATACACTTTAAAACGTGTCTCTGGATCGTAGTAAGGGCATGAACAATCTGCCTTTATGGTAGTTTTTTGTAGGAGGACAGGCTGGTATAACTATGAATTATCTTCTTAAAGTGTGTCATTTAATAGATACATGTATTCTATGTAATAAAACAAAAAAAAAGTTGTTGTAATTTTCCTAATTCTACTTTATTGATCTGTCTTGTTTTTGGACAGTTGTTAAAAAATGTTAGTTATGTAATTTGATCGTTTTATTGTAACAATGCGGTCACATAACCAATTTTGTTGTCTGAATTCAGGTTATCTCATCATATTAACTCATACTGTATTTAAAAGAACCACAACAAAATTAAGTTTTGACCACGTCCATTCTCCGTGCACATTGCATATTTAATTCTACAGGAGTTGCTTGCATTTTGACTTCCTTACTATAGTGACATCTTAAATGTATTCTACATTTGATTCAGCTGACGCTTTTATTCAATGCCTGTGTGAAGTCAAAACAGGTGTGTTTTTATTCTACAACGGAATATGTGTATATCTTCTGCATTCCTGACTAACCCATGTTTTCACACAGACAGGTAAATAATGCCTCACCTCTCTCTCCATCTCCTCCACAGAAGCGTAGTATTTGGACCACCAGTCCAGCTCCTCCTTCTCCGGCGTCTCCTCCTCCAGCTCCTCGCCTTTCTTCATCAGCTTCTTCAGAGGAGCCTGAAGGGGTTTATTCAAATTAACTCATTCTTTAATCCTTTATGGCTGAATCTAGGTAGAAATGTGTCTTGGTTCCATGTTATTAAACACAAAGACGAGGAGATTATTGTACGCACATTTACCAGCTTCATGGGGTTTAAGGGGATCTTTGACTGTTTGATTGACAGGTTGCTGAGTCCCATACGGGTCACTGCATTCAGAGGGTCCATCTTCCTTGTATTCTGCCTCACTGGAGAGAGAATAAGATAAATGATGTTGATAAATGTTTCCATAAAAACTTTCAATTGACTATGAACGCTAAAGAGCATAGCTTGAGAAACATCCAATCACAGAGCTTCAGAAGTAGTCTTGTGGCTGATGGTGGGAGGAAGTAATACATACATTTTTGTAGAGAAATTGATACGAGAACTTGGCGGAAAAATACAATGCGAGGAAAAAAAGAAATATAACTAATATTATAAATAAACTACACAATTAAACATTGGCACAATAATGTCGTTAAGAAAAACGCAGAACTTGGAATCAAAACATGTTAAGGTCAATTTCGGATCAATTCCACTGAAAATAACCATGTTCTAACACTACATAATTGGTGAATTGCAGAATAATGAGCATTTTAAGGGACAACAGTCCTGTGAAACTTTGATTATCTCCACATATTGTACATTAAACAATGTGATTAAACAAATAACTCCTACTATTTAGTTGAAACCACTATTGTATTATGAATATTTATTTATTTATTTGACAGACACAGAGCACAGATTGGAAGCTGTACAAAAGTTTGCTATAATGTAATTTAGTCGCTGGGAAGCAAACAACAAATGAAATTAGGTAAACGTACAGTGTAAAAGCACAAATAAAAGGCGTTACATAACATTTGTTACGTACAATGTAAAATATTACCATGATTTCACAATATTTAGCTGTAATATTTTACAATAAATTACTGTTTTACCACTTTACAGTTCTTTACCTGTAATGTTCACAATATAATACTGTAATTTTGAATTTCACAGTGAAATCATTGCAGGCACAGTTAATTACTCTGAATGTACAGGATCAATGATTACCAGGATTTCACAACATGTTACTGTATTATTTCACAGTAAAATACTTTATTCAGACCATCGTCTGTGATAACATAACAAATTAAAGGATTTTCTTGCTTTTATCGCTCTTGCTGGCTTTAAATACTAATTTCTTTCTTTGGTGCAGGTTTTACTTAAATTGAAAGGGGCACCGCTGCATGTGCCTTAAAATAAACGATGCAACATATAAATCTATGTAAAATTGAAATTGTTGTCTTGGCTTAGTGTTTTCA